CCTTTTGTAACATAATGGTTGGACCGGAAAAAAGAAGCTAAAATAAAATAAAAGTTGTAAACTATTGTGACTTTTGTGCTGTGCCAGTGGATTTATGGCATGGGAGCCTGCGGTGTAACATCTGGGGGGGGGTCCAATTGCCCTTTCAGTATTTTTCCAGCACCCCATAGGAAGAAGCACTTTGCAATTACTGGAAGTGACAAATGGCTCCTGTATCATTTCTTTATTTTTGGAAAGGATGTAAATCTGGAAGGGTCCAGCCCGTTGCCTAAAACGCAGTCAGTCAGTTGAGGATTTGCCTTGTTCGTGCACACATAGAGGGACTTTAGATCTTCTCAGATGTGAGGCAGGAACAGACAGTTGACCTCCTTTTTCACTGATAGAGTTTCACATCATTTCCATTCACTGTGTCTACACACTAGCTCCAGGGGGAACATGGTAGGAAGCAGCATGTATTCCACCTGGAGTGCTGCATCCAGCCCTAGGGTCCCTGGTGTAGGAAGGACATGGACCCGTTGGAACGAGTCCAGAGGAGGCCATGAAGATGATTAGAGTGATGGAGCACCTCTCCTAAGAGGAAAAGCTGAAATAATTGGGTTTATTCAGCCTGGAGAGGAAAAGGCTCTGGGGAAAACTTACTGCGGCCTTTCAGTGCATGAAGAAGCTCCAAAAGAGTTGGAGACAGACTTTAGGGAAGGGCATGGAGTGACAGGACAAGGGGAATGGCTTTAAACTGAAAGAGGACAGGTTTAGATTGGATATTAGGGAGAAATTGTTCCTTGTGAGGGTGGTGAGACCCTGGCACAGGTTGCCCAGAGAAACTGTGGCTGCCCCATCCCTGGAAGTGTCCAAGGCCAGGTTGGACAGGGCTTGGAGCAACCTGGGCTAGTGGAAGGTGTCCCTGCCCATGGCAGGGGGTGGAACTGGATGAACTTCAAGGTCCCTTCCAACCTTAAAAAACAATCAGTTGTTTGCAGGTAGCACGAGGAATTTTTGTCCTCCTCTTCCTAAGATTCTTTTCCCAGGAGGTCAAATCTCTCCTTGCAGTGACATGTGCTCACCCTTGGCTGTTATCCGTGTTCACCTTTTTTTTTATAATAAAATGAGATAAGAGAAAAAAGAAGTAAGAGAACTACCCCACCCTCAGTGAGAGCTTTTATCTTCCAGTTTAACAGTTGTTAATAGCTTTCAGGAATTTTTTATTTTTATTTTTTGCTAATACCTCTCAGGTTACAGTGGTTTGGGCTGATAAAAATCTGAGGTTTCTGACAGGAAATTGAAGGCCACGAATATTCCACATCCTTAAAAATAAATGGCCTAAAAGCTGAAGGTCAAAGCCAAACAGGGTGTGGGTACTTTATGTGTGGTCAACAGAGCAGAGGGCTCTGTTTACCTCCACAGATGTGAATTGGTTGAGTGTTGAAATCTGGAAACCCTTCTGAGTGCTTTGTGTAGTGTCTCAGCTGCTATCCAGTTTTATTTATTGGAATTTTATCTCCATGTTTTATTTCAGTGATACCTGTTTATTTTGCTGGCAACCATTTGGTCAGTTATATATAATATAATGGTCAGTTCACAGGGGTGGTACTGTGATCCCTGAAAAGTCCAGTGTGGGGGTGTTACACCCCAAAACCTTTGGTAGAGCACAGTATGAACAAAGAAGCTCCACTTTTGTTATAGTAAGTCTGGTTTTGTAGATGGAGATAAATATTCATTCATAGCCTGTGGAAGAGTGTTCTGTTCAGGTGAGCCCAACTCATCAGGCATTTCAAACCATCCTGTAGCTCAACCTGTGATTATAATAATTTTATTTGTATGTACAAACCTTATCAGCAAAGGTTTTGAGTTGTCACTACAGTTAATAAAATTCAGCACGACACTTATTCGTGTGTCAGAATCTGTTCCTGTTAGAAGTGACCTTTTTCAATGACATGTTTTTCATTTACCTGTTTTATGTCTGTCAATGAGCCACCTGCTCACAAATTAACTTTTCATACCGCTAATGTGCAGATACAGGTCTTCACTAAAAATGAAATTTGGAGAAATTAAGTGTCTGACCTCTGTTACTTTTGCCAGCCAGACTTGCAAACATGGCAGAATTTATTTAAAAGGCTTTTTTCCCATAGAAATGTATTGCCTGGCATTGGTAGTGTTCATGTCCTTTACATCTTTACATTTGCTTTTAATAATTCTGTTTTTATAATCATGCCCCAAAGCTGCATCACATTGAGTGGCCTTTTTTACCCTTTTGCAGGTAGTAATAGAAGTTAATTTTTTCTTACCTTCTCTCCAGATCTTACTATTCCAAGAATATTGGATGTGTCTGTATGTGGCATAAGACATATACATCCAGTAGAAAAGCTGTTGTAATCAGCCAGTGAAAATAAGTTTTACCACAACAGTCACTGCTGCCCAGTGTTTATTTTTTAAGCCCCTTTGTTTATTTGCCCTCTTGTGTATGTCGGTGTAAATAGGAAATAGTGGAATGTACTTCCATTATTGTGCCAAGAAGTTCCTTCTCTGCGAGTTCAGCTCCTCCGTGTAAATTAGCTTTTCTGCAATGCATGGAGGTCACATAGGAATGTTCAAATATTTAGAGAAAGTGCTGTATAGTATGTTTAGAATGAAGCATATTTTCTTCCTGTCCCATTTTCCTGCCATGAGGGACGACTTCCCCCTTCCTAAGCGTTCTCACCGCATGGTTTTGACGCGCACAATAAATTTTCCTGGCGCGGTAACCACCTGCTGACGTGGAAATTGCAATAAACGTCCTGGCTGTTTTGAGAAACGCAAGTTCTCCTCAAGGAGGGAACCTACACCTGCAAAAATACCCCACTTAACCAGAAAACACCCGACATCAATCTTGGATGTCAGCGCTTTCCTCAGCCTGGTGGGAATTCTCAGCCCGGAGAATTCAAAGCGCTTTGTGCCCTGGGCTGGGTTCTTCCTGGAATGGGGGTAGATCCAACATCTTTTGGACTTGCCAGAGAGCAATAACATTACAAAAACTGGTGCCAGGTGAGCTGTATGTGAATTGTACCATGGCTGACTGTATCGTTATTTATAAGTATTTTCACATGAAACACTGCCAAGGAGAAGTGTTTTGGGCAGCAGTGAATCAAGGGTGCTAATTTGATGTAGGGAGTGATCCACGTGCCTAAACATAGGGCTGTAGGGCTATTTGGGACTCTTCAGGTATCCAGGACATCTAATGAAGCAAGGAGATATGGTACAGTATCTATAGGATACCCAAACCAGCAGAAACTGAGGCCAGAGAGGGTGCTGGAATCTGTAGTGCTGAATTAAGTGTCAGAATCATAGAATCACAGAGTGGTTTGGGTTGGAAGGGATCTTAAAGACCATCTCATTCCAACCCCCTGCCATGGGCAGGGGCACCTTCCACTAGACCAGGTTGCTCCAAGCCCCTTCCAGCCTGGCCTTGAAAGGTGTAAAGAACTCTTGCAAAACTAGATAGAAATTACTTGATGTAGGAGGAACCTCATTATCCCCTGGGAAAGAACAGAGAATAGTGTGCAACCTCAGACAAAACAAAAATGTGGATTTTTGTTATGCCTAAGTGCAGTTAAATGACATAAGTTGGCTGAAAAACGTTATATTGGCAAATTTAGTGTCATTGAGATCCTTTCCCTGGCCTGGAGAGATGAAAATACCTGGCAAAAAGAAATCTCAGCTGAAGCTCAGTTTTAGGAAACTGCAAGGGGAGATCTGATTGTGTTATAAAACATGCCACAGTCATCTCTATTAAATTCTGTATCACATTATAAGTACTGGAATGTTCACTGGGAGCTCAATGCTACTTGTGTGTCACTGTACAAATTTACTCTCAGACCTCTCATTTATACTGACCTCCTGGGCATCCTATTTATTTTTACCTCAGGTCCCTAGAACATGGGTGATTCACTTCCATTCTACCTTTCCTGAATTGGGCCACCCACATTTCCTTGCATAAAATTTTTTAACTTATTTATAGATAAAAAGAGAAGTGTTTGTGTTCTTATAGTATCAAATACTATCAGCGAGAAAGGGGCCAAAATACTTTTAAACTGGGCAAATCCTGAGTGTGGTATGTCTGTGTTCCATTTTTATTAGTCTTTCATACACTGAAAAGGAAATTAAGTTGATGGAAAGTATGTGATATGACAGCAGTTGTTACTGTAATATTATTGTGCATACAAAGAATGTTGCTGAGGAAATGATTCCATACTATTTTTGAAAGAACTGTCAGTGCAATACCTTTTTTCCAAAGCAAAGGCCAATGAAACAGTATTGCTTTCTGTGGAAAAAAAAAAAAAGGCCATTTTTAGAAATAGTTATTTGAAACTTTTCCTTGGTTCTGAATTAATTTTGGGATGAATTCAACAGGAAGAATAAACCCACCTCATCTCCGAAAATCTAACATTCTATTTCAGTTCTGACTTCACAGCCAAGTTTAAATGCTCGGTCCTTTTAACACTTATTCATAGGAATTTTAACCTGTTAATAATGTAATATAAAATTAAACCATGAGAGCAGTTGAAGAACTGCTACTTATTAGTGGATAAAAAATTACCCCGGTAAAGGAGCCAGTCCAACACCTATTTCCACTTCTATTCTTTGGATGTTTCTAGTAGTTTAATTTCTAACTTGAATCTTATCCTGATCCCTTTCAGGGATGTAAATTTTGTTTTATGATCTGATCCTCAAATCAGGAATGAAATTAAACTGATGTATTGAAGCAGGACTGAAATCCCAAACCCATTACAGGGTATTGCTCCATCCTGGCTGTTCTTCCTCATGAACTCCTGGAGTTCAGCTTTCTTCCACTGAAAAAGGTTTTGTTCTAAAACCATTTATTTCTTAGGCCATATATATACACACACCCCACTAAAAACTATATGCTTGTGTGGGAATGCCCCATATTTCTTATTGATTATTCAAACAACTTTTCTCATTAAAAGCGAACATTTAGTCATTCATTTATTTGTTTAATTTTCATGTAGGAAGTCTCCAACATCCACTGGCTATAAAGAAGACCAAATGAAAGAAGTCCTAGAATTAGGTAAGTTGAGTTTCAGTTTTCCTTTTGCCATCATATTCTTCAGAGCAGCTATGACCAAGTTACTTCTTTTGTAACTACTTTTAATTGCATTTTCTATTAACTTCTTGGGTAAGGGTGGGAAAAGAAGTCATTCATATTAATCAGACAAAGTCTGGCTCATGTATTTCTATTTGTCCTTTCTGGCTAAAACTGTATTTTCCTTTTTATGCAGATGGATGACAATGTGTTCATTTTCATACTGGTGACCTCCTGGCACTGAGTGTGCTGGAAGAAGCAATTTTTGTCATCCAACACATTATATGATTTTTCTTTTCTTTCCTTCAGTCAATGTTGAGGATGAAGAAACAACTGGAGAAATTAATAAGAACCCAGACCTTTCAACACTGTACATGCTTCAAATAGTACCCAAGGCAATTGATATTTCTCTTGCAAAAGTAAGGCTAATAATTATGATGGTAAATGCAAATAGGTGTGTGAGAATGCTATTTCAGTTAAGTTGCCCAAAGCTGCAGTGGGTTTCTCTGTGTTGTATGTTTATGTGGGATTGAACATGTGCTGTATTCCTGATTATATTCCTTATGTGGTGTTCAGGGGACAGAGTAATTCAGGGATGCCTATCCAAACATTCAGGAAAATACCAGGAGAGAATGGCAGGATGCATCAGCCCACCTGAAGCACAGATAATAGCTTTAATTAACGAAGCTTGTGTTGTTTTCTTAATGCCTCTAGTCATTTATTGTGCTTGTTCTCCAGTCCTTTCAGTTGACAGTGGTTCAGAATGAGCTTATTATTCCTTTATCACTCTTTCTCCCTTGCTCATCTTCCCAATTTTGAGCAGAGATGGAACCATAAATACTTCTAATGTTTTCCATCCCATTCAGACAGAGGGAGAAAAAGAGAAAAAAAATAATGATTGTGTCTTCCAATTTTATTCTAAATCAGTGAGTTTGGAGTAACTATACCAACACTGAGTTGACTGTTCTTATTTACTCACCTTTACTTTTTACATTTAATTAATATTTATCTCATACCAGCAACTTTGACAGGCAGAATGGGCTTCCTTTCCCCACACTGTGTCCCACAGGGTCCTTTTCTCTCTAATCTAACCATTAGTAGATGTTGCTCTCCAGCTGTTAAATTTCAGGGAATATTCTGTAATGCTTTCATGGGAAGCTGTGCCCCAGACATTATACATAAATATTTTCCAATGCTGAGCAGCTCACAGCATTATGAGTGGAAGAAATATAGCAGGAAAAGGAAAATATTGCTCCTTTTCATTGGAGTGTTGCTATTTACAGTATGGATAAAACAGAAGAGTGTGGTTATAGGGAATTAGTCATTACCCTTCCACACTCCTCCTTTCTTTTCTACAAATTACTGCAAGAAAAAGTACCCCTGTTTTGGATTTGTTTTTTAAATGAAAACTTTTTCCTTTCTTTTATAGGAATTAAAAAACCTTTTGTTTGGCTCTAGTCTTTGTTGCTTCAGTGAAGAATGGAAAATCCAGAGTTTTACATTTAGCAATATACCACAGTTAAAATATGGCATTGTGCAGAAAAAGGTACAGTAAGTGACTTCCTTACACTGAACTCTGCTTTTTACACTGAGTTTACAAAGGCTATGTGTTTCAGCAGTGAAAACATGAGTCTTCTGAAGGCTCTTCTCTTTAATTTGTCTTGTTACCACTGGATTATGTCACCTTGGCAAGTCTTGGTAGGAGACTTGAGATGGATGGGGTGTTTCTGAGGGAAACGTGGAGTAGCTGCAGAAAGTGTGTATGTGTGTGTGTGTGATGGGGAGTTATTCACAGAGAGGAAGACAAGCCACTGCAGCTGAAAGCTAGTGGTTATAAAAGAATAAAAGAGCTTAAATCAAGGGTGGAGTTCAAGAGAAAAATGATATGTGGGGGCAATGTTCGACAAATTTGAGGTGGAGCTTGATCTGCCTCAAAATGAGATGTAGTGAGAATTTCCTGCAGTGCCTGGGAAGTCACAAGGAGATTTTTGCCTCCTAAAGGTATGGGGGTCAAATGTTGAGGCTCATTCCTAAAATAAAAGGGAACAAATGCCCTTGCAGTGTCACTGGGACGCTGGGACTGCTGGTGAGCTCACCTCCTTTGCAGCCATGTCTCTGTAATTCTGGCCTGCAGCCACAAGATGCCAGCTCCTCCCTGAACCAAGGTTTTCATCAGTTCCCTGCCATCATCCACCGAGTGCACAGATCTGAAATCCCCAGCAGCTCCCTGTGGTGGAAGCATCTACCCAATCCATAGAAATTTTTGGTGCTAATAAAGATCTCCCTGGTCAGGGCATTTAGTGGGGGGGACTCTTATCTGGTGTCTGTCTTGTCAGCCCTGCCTGGGCTTCTGACTCTTACAGACTGAGGCTTCAATGCTTCAGACCCCTTTTCTGCTCTGTGTTTGGTCAGCCTGGTTTCTCAGCTGGCTGATGCACAGCACCCCCTCCCGTAGCTGCCTCCAGAATCAAACAGATCCACTGTAAAAATGGATCCTCCTCAGCCACAGCTTAAAGCTTTTGTGTCATCCCTGTGACCCTCTGCATGTGCTTCTGGGATGTCCACACACGTGGTCTGTCAGGAGCAAGGAGCTGAGGGATTCAATAAAGACTTGGGAAGGAGTAGACTCCTCTTTACAAAACACTCATCAAGCTTCTGTGCTGATGCAGAAAATCTTTATCTGGGCTGAGGGAAGCAGACCATTGTACAGAAAGGAGAGGAAGAGAGGCTTTGAGGCGAGGACAGTGGCTAATAAACATGTCATTAAGATGTTTAATTAACTTACCTTGTCTAATTAAATATTTCATTAGGCTGATGATCTCAGAAGAAAGCTGCTTATCTTAGAAAACCTAGCGGAAAAAAAAATATTAAATGTTAATTTAAACTCCAAAAGGAGCTGTGGCAGGAATGTTCACTGGCCCACAGTAAATGTTACTTTGGTGTTTCCAGACCCTGCTGCTGGAGAAAGGATGTCTCATCACTTCCAGCAACTCACTGACCATTAAATTCCCTACCATAAATTCCACGACAGGAAAGGTGTTTTGCTTAGATGTGACTGTTTCAGCTCATTAATATATTCCTTCTCACTTCCAAAATTACTTTCAGCTGAACAATCGTTTGGTTCTCTCTCACGTTAAGTTTTTGTGGTGCTATGAGAAGATATTTAGAATAGATCTTATAATTCCTTTTTTTGCTGGGGAGGCTTTTCCTGATGGATTAAAATAAACCTTGCTTTTTTCCTTAGTGTATTTCAGATAATTCACTCAGTAGTTTTGTAAGTAATTATAGAAGGGTAGTGTGAAAAACTGGAAGGTATCAATATCTAAGCTATTTTCTAATTCCAGGACCTTTATTTTCTGGGATCCATACAGAATGTACCTGCAGGTCCCATTCCCTTGGGCTCGATGCTGCAATTGGGACAACCTGAGAATTAAACTGATCACTTAAATCTCTTGGCTGTGTAAAAACAGCAGTACTGGCTGCCCTTTTCATTCTTCTCCAGGGTTTTGAGAGGAGTTTGGTGGCTGGCATTGTGGTATCTGTGGTGTTAGTCTTGTGTCCTGCATAGCCTGCTCCATTCATGTGGATGTTCCAGAGAAAGGATGGCTGTTCTCTGTGTCCTCAGCGAACTACTGGAGTAAATAATATGATATGAGGCACCTGGGAGAGAATTAATTGACAAGGGAGGGAGTGTTGTGCTGGATGAAGTTTTCTAGGCCAGAAGAGGGCACACCATTTGCTTCTCAGGACAACTTGTGCAGCTGTCTCTGACATGTTGTTAATCCATAGGAACAGGTCTTGGTCATGAGGGAGTACATAAGGAGAAGGAAATATGTTGCTGCCACATCCCACAGTCTTTCAATCATAGAATCACAGAATATCCTGAGTTGGAAGGGACCTACAAGGATCATCAAAGTCCAACTCTTAGCCCTGCACAGGCCCATCCCCAAGAGTCACACCCTGTGCCTGACAGGATCAGCCAAACCCTCCTGGAGCTCTGGCAGCCTTGGGGCTGTGCCCACTGCCCTGGGGAGCCTGGGCAGTGCCCAACCACCCTCTGGGTGAGGAAACTTTTCCTGAGATACAACTTGACCTTGCCCTGACACAGCTCCAGCCATTCCCTGGGTGCTGTCCCTGGTCCCCCCAGAGCAGAGCTCAGTCCCTGCCCCTCCTCTGCCCCTGCCCAGGACCGTGGAACAGCAGTGAGGTCTCCCCTCAGTGTCCTCTTCTCCAGCTGAACACACCAAGTGCCCTCAGTGTCCTCACACAGCTTCAAATCAAGACCCTTCCCCATCCTTGCAGCCCAAACGGCTATAAATTTGTTTCCATAAGGTTTCAAGTTAATATGGCATTTCTCAATATTATGTTTTTTTTACCTGCCCGGAACATTAATAATTTGAAAGGTTCAAACTTCCTTGATTTTCTTTCTCTTCCCCAGTGAGAGAGCTGCCTTTTGCCTTGTGCTGAAAACTGGAATTTTGTTTAGTGATACAGGCAGGAACTCAAGGGGAGACCTAGTGCTGAGAGGAGCTACAAGAGCAAGGCTTCTTTTTGCTCTTTGGAAACCATTCAGATTTAATTTCTCTCTGGAACTTAGACTGTGGCTCAGAAGGGACCAGGAGATCTTTAATTTGTTTGCCTAATCACAGAACAGATTTTTCAAAATCCCCTTTCCTTTGATATTACAGGTGTTTAGGTACTTTCAGGAAAAACAGGCAGGAAACATGAAACCAGTTAATAAGAATGCTTTTCATTGGAGTGAGAACTGTGAAGCCTTGGATGGAAAGAGAGGGATGAAGGGACGTCTTTAGCCTGAATGGAAGCAGAAGTTTTCCCCAGCTCCTAATTGTTTTCCTCATGGAATGTCCCATTATTCCCCTCAGGGTGGCCCATGTGGAGTCCTGGCTGCAGTTCAAGCCTGTGTCCTGCAGCAGCTGCTCTTTGCAGACAGTAACAGGAATAAAGACACCCGGTAAGTCAGAGACTGACAGCACGAAGATTTTCCATACAGTAGTAAAAAAAAAAAAAGAAGAAATTATTTCTCTACTGCAGCCACTCAGGAGCCTTTTGGGTTTGAACTTACTGAACTTCTCTTTGTCTCTGAGAGAGAAAGAAAGCAGCATCTGATTTAGTTGTGTTTACTTCCCTTTCAACTGTAGGAGTTTAGAGGTTGGTGTCTTATGTGTATAATTTCTTGCTTGTGATAAACCCAAGAACCTCTATGGAAACCCAACAGGTTGAGTTGAGGCCAATGAAAGTTATTTGACCTCGAGGTCCTATTTGATTTCAAATAAAAAGTGATCTAGGTTTGAAAGACCATGAAACTCATCCAGTTTTTGACACTAAGAATCTCAGTGAGGGTGAAAACTGAAGTTATAGCTGTATTTTTTTATTGCTACTGTGTTTGGTCTTTCACATTTAAACTTCTTAATAGGATTTGAATTTAAATTCCATGTGTGTATTTTCTACTTACTTTAAAGGAATATTGTTCAGTGTTGCTAGTGTCAAGAAAATTGCTTGGACTGCTATAATATCAATGTACTTGTCACTTTGCTAAAGGAGAAGGGCTTATTCAGTGAATTGCTGGAAAATACTGCCTCAAAAAATTACTTTATTACCAGATTTCATGTATTTTCCTTCTGTTTTCAGTAAGAAATTAAGTCCATTACAAAAGAAAAATTCCACAAAGCTTCCCTGTGCTTTATATGAACTGAATGTTAAATAGGGGAAACAATTTTACTGGTTTATTCTGCCACCACCTTGTGTTATTTGTGACCTCAATTAGCCTGGCCTCAATTTAGTCGGAAGAGAAGCTTTCATAGTGAGACCTTTCTTGAACTTCATTCCCTTACAATATAAAAATGGTCGTCCTGTATTTAGTTTTGGCCTTAAATATCCATTTTTCTGCTTATACTGCTTGGGAAAGTGGCGGGGTCTCAGTTGATTTTCCTTAGTTTTGTCTGACACTTAATGTAAATTCATTGTTTGGGCTGTTTTTCATTGACAATGGAGAGAAGCAGGTTCCTGTAGAACATCATTATTTGTCTTCAGCACCAAGGATGGGAGCTGGCATTTAATCAAAGAATTCCCAGGCCCAGGTGGTTCAGGTTCAGGAGCACTACTGAGTGCACAGTCCTGGTACAAGACACCTGTAAACCATTAAAAATGTGGAAAACCAGGCTTGGAGTATGAATACAAACCTACAGGTTTTGCTGTTACTGTATTATTTCTGTTGCTTGTTATTATGGGCACTGACTGCCTGTGGACCCCGAGACAAGGGCCAAATAAACAAGATGCTGGGAATTCATCTCCTGAAAATTGTCTGTTCCTTGAAGTCACTTAAAGCACACTTCTCAAAAGTGCAGAAATTATCTAGCAAAACTTTAGTGTTCTAATTCAGACTGTAATGAGGCTTTTGAAGGCAGAGTGAGGCTCTTGCTTACATAAAAGTAAAACCTCAGAAACTTCCTTTCAAGAACCTCAGTACATATTTGGATTTTATGACCAGGAACCTCCACAGAAGAATTATTTCTGGTTGTGAAAACCAAGAATTCGTTTCAGCTTGGAGGACAGCCTTTGATCATCTGCTCTTTGGTCCTTTTGTGTCTCAGGTCATCCCTAATAAAAATAGAGATGTTAATTTTCCTCTTTCAGTATGGTTCAGTGATCATAAATGTCATAAAATTATGTGGCACCCAAATAAATGGATTTGGGCCAGGTTTTTTAAACTATGTCTCCCAGCTCATGCCAGCTCCAACCTATCCTGTTTACTTGGCAGTATTTGCCTCCTATTTTTCCCCTCCTATAATCCACATAGTTTTAAAAGAATTTTTTTTTTTATTCCTGAGATAAACAAACTTTTCTTATGATGTGTTGGCCATGGCTAGAAACTCTTAGCCTGGCAGAAAGAAAGGGAAGTCTCAGAGTCTGAAATGAGAAGATTAATATTCCAGTCTAATTATAACCTGGATTTTAAAATTATCGCCCACTTCACATTAAGTGTTTGACTTCAGGCTTCTTCGACATTCAGGTCATAATTATCATGTCTCCTTCTTCCTCTGCTCTCTCTCTCAGACACATAAATTAGTTGCTGTGATTCCTATAGATCTCTGAGTGTCTGTATTTGAACACTGGGAGAGATAAGAGAAAGTTGTGATTATATTTTTTTTTTTACTTGAAAACTCTCACCAATTATTTCTCATATCTCACATCCTTCAGAGAGGGAAACATTCTCTAAATGAACATTAAATTCAAGGCAGACATTGAACTTGAAAGTCTGTTTAAGTTTTTGATGTTTGATGTTTCTTGTTTAGTCTTTTGAATTATTAGATCTTTTACTCAAACGCTGGGAACAAGTTTTGATATCATCTCCCATGCTGGTAACACTCTAGGACTGATGATATCTGAATTTCAAAGACTGCCATTCTTGAAGCCACTAGAGAAAACTCCAGTTAGGTTCTTCCCAGAGTCATGGATCTCTTGGCCACTTCTTCAGGCTCATGGATGTTGGGTTTTATTCTTGAACCTGCCAGTTTTCCATTATGTGACTTTTAGGCCTCCTGGTCCTTTATTTCTCCATTCACCTCCAGGAAGCTGGAATAACAGGAGGCTTTAGGAGACTGCACAAAACACAGTTTGTAGGATGTGTTTTAAAAATGTTCCTACATATCTGGGATCAACAGACTGCTGTAAACATTCCGTAGTTTTACACATCACTCTGTGAGTTCCAAGCAAAACATCTAAGTGAAAATATTCCAGGAGCAGTGATGCTCCACTGAGCAATTCTGGGGCACTTACTGTGATGTTTTAGGTCACCACTTTGGGGCACACCTTACTAAAAAAAAACCATGCAAGCCTAGTGTTTATTGCAGACAGTACTTTAAAGTTTAGTAGTGGGTAATAACACAATGCAGATTTATTGACGAGAGTTAAGTAATAAAAAACTTCAAAAGAAATTAAGTATGAAGGCCTTTGGAAACTAAAAATCATATTTAAAATGTAAACATTCTGTTTTAAAACAAAAAATCATCCTGTTAGAGAATATTGAAGTAGTTTTATTACAGATTTAAAGTTGAAGTAGTTTCTCTAGTTCATTATTTGCCAATACAGTATTGTTCCCCGAAGTACATTAACCTGTTTTCTTGTCCAACCAATTGTAAATATGTACTCTGAAAGAGCATCTGTTTCTTTCACAAGATTAGTTGTCAGGGTGTGATTACAGATCTGTGCATTATCAGTTCCTGTTGTTGATCAGACCTTGTTTAACCTTCTCTTCATTTTTGCCCATTGCTTTTAATGATAATAATAGTCTTATTTTAATCATGTGTTATAAATCAGACACCATATTCAACATTAATGTCCTAGAAGTAGTGATTGTGCATTTCATCTCTTAAATTCACCTGTATGACAAGGGTGTTGTCATAGAACATACAGACATAGGCCAGCAAGCTTGAGTACCCACAGCAGCAGTCTAACCATCATTATGAGCAGTGTGAGCTCATCCAGGCCCCCCAAAATACAACAGACACCTGTTAACACTTGACCTTGGTGAATTTACTTCCTTCAGATATCTGGTTTCCTTCTGATTTCAGAAGAGACCCACCCACTGTGCCCAGTTTGTTTTATAGCAATCTAAAGAGGAAGTTGGGCTCTATTCACTGGATCTGATTGTCTTCAGTGAGATCCAAGGTACCTTCTTAAATGCCTAAAATGAGTTTCAAGCTGGTTCACCTCAGAGAATGGTTCAGAAAGCCCATATTCCAGTGATGACTTCAATTGCACCTCCCTCTTGAGAGCTCTTCAGGTGCTGAGAAGTCTTAACATGGGGGGCACAGTGAGTGCTCCCGTGGAATCTCAGATGCTTAATCCTCAGAGGAAGGACAGATTCAACTGCACCTTTATACCTGGAGTGTCTCCTCAGTAACAACACCATCTTCCTCTTCAACTCACAGGGTTTTTGGCCATCCAAGTTGTCTCTTTTTGGACAAGCAGAAGAAACTGAGATGATGAAGAAACTAAATGATGATTTCCTGAGGCAACTCGCCTCATTATTAGGCATTACAGCGCCTAAATAGCCTCTAACAGTGCTTTTTGCTCTGTTGGCTGCAAACCTGCCGTGAATCTGTTTGCCCTCACGTTCTGGAACTTGTCTCTCTCTTTTATTCCCCTGGCCTGCAGTTGTCTCCAGCCCTCAGAAGTTTACAGGACCAAGTGCCTGACCATGGCCATCGCAGACATCCTGTGGCGAGCGGGGGGCCACGAAAAAGCCATCGTGGCCCTGTGAGTAGGAGAAGCATTTTTAATTGCTGGACAGTGCTCCTGTACCCCTGTCCATTCCAGATGTACGGAATTCACAGCAGGAAGGCTTTGTCAGCTGCATTTATGCCATCTAAAATGGCTTTTAGGGAGGAATCCAAAATGTAATTTCTGCTCTCCCAGTAGCTTGGGCAGAACAGAAAAAATTCTTTGAAATTGCTGTGAAAGATCCTGTGGATTTAATGGAATGTAGGATTCATTCAAAATCTTTACTAAGAATTGTATTTCCAGATGCAGCATCTTTCTCCTATATTGCAGGATATTCTGTTATGGCTGAAATTAAGTTTCCTTTGCTGTATTTGCCTACTAGCCACTTAGTTTATGCTGTGCAATTAGGCTGCTAGTACACCAAACATCCAACTTTTAGATCCCCAGCTTTGGCTGTATTGGATCCTGCATGATATTTTTATGAGTGAGCCAGGTTTTGTGAGACTGAGTAATTTCTTTTATTAGATAAACACAGATAGCTGAAAAATAACAGAGAGGCTTTGGGACACAGAAATCCTTCTTAAACCTGAAATAGAAGCAGCAAATTCAAAGACATTTCAAATTATATTTTGCATATTTTACTTCTTAAAACTGCTTCCTCTGTGATGACATTTTATATATCTTCTTCTACTTGTTTAAATGTCATTGCTCTAATATTATTTTTCAGTAGAAACTGTCATTAACATCTTAAAGTTGCATTTATCCTCTTTCTGTGTGGAGAAACTTGTAATTCATATTAAATAGACTGAGAGAGCACAGCACAGGTAAAGTATTTTCTTCATTGATAGAAATTTAATATGTAATATGAACTTAATTTAAGAAGTCTATTTTTAAAAAATGATTAAAATAATAGTGCATGGGTAATTATTCAGTTCATATAACATGTTGATTTCTCTTTAATGCCATTTTCTTCCTTTTAACATGAGCTTTGTCTGAATATCCTCCTCAGGCCATCAGGAAGACAACAGTTCACTCCCATAGGAAAATACAAGGCAGATGGAATCTTAGAAACTGTAAGGCTCTGTGTAACTCACATTCTCCATATATCCCCTTTCTAGCTTTTCTTTTTTAGTCCAATGAATCTGATTTCCATTGCTTTCTTAGTGTGTTAAAACCTTTTATCTCAAATTAGTTAGTTACGATCCAAAAACCAATTGAAAATAGCAAAATCCTGTAGTCTGGCTCTGGGTTGTTCCAGTGTCTGTGGACAGCTGGACTCTCTGAAGTCCTTTTTTGTTCCATCTACTTTTCAAGCTTATAAACTGCCCCTACTTTTGATGATGTGCAGTAAAAATGAACTTGGTCCTCCCAAGTTGACCACCACGGCCACGAGCATCAGAAGAGACTCTTTGCTTTTTGTCTCACACAGAATTCTTTGCCATTTTTTTTTCCCCTCCAGAAGCTCCAAATGGGAAAATAACTTTTCTAGTTATGCCTTGTTTCCTTGTGAAGCCCTCAGATGGCTTTGCAGGCAGTGGTGCTATTGGCCAGGCTTTGGTGGTTTAAGGAAATATTTTACTGGCCTCCTGAACGGAGGAATGGATTTGCCAAAACCTGAAGGTGGAAAAATAGGCAAAGAGTGTTGAAGTGAGGGCCTGGATCTGTGAGCTCTTCTGAATTTCATGTTAATTAAGAATACTCGTGGGAGTATTCTCTGTGGTAAGTGCTCTGCTATAAACCTGCTATAGGGGCCTCACCATATAGGTACAAACTCCTGAGCTACTATGCTTTCTAAAACTGCAGCATTCCTATGTTTTTGCTGGGAATTGTCTTTCATTACATAAACAGTGCTTTAATTTGAATCCAAGAGTCTGTTCCACAAAAAGAAGCAGTATTTAAAAATTCGGAATATGGGAAGTGTTGAGATGCAACATTTTACAGAGTAACAACGGTAAGAGATAGATTTTATTGGATATTTATTCCATTTTTTTAGTTCAAATCTTTATAGTTTTGGGTACTTTATTTCAGCTTTGAGTTTATAAAAATGAGTTGTTATTGTTTCAGTTACTTTTTTTTTTCTTCTTACATTTCTTCCCAGCTGATACTACACAGTGCCACGAGATATGAAGACCTGATTGTGTTTCTTCAGCAGAACATTCACCAGGTACTGTGTGTAGAGAAGATCTTAAACCTGTTATGGTTCAGCTGCCAGACTTTCTGGGTCTATCAGTCTCATATGATGCCTTCTGAACAGTGTTTCAAACACTTTGACAGATTTTTGCATTTTAAGAAGCACAGCAACAAATTCAGTTCTCAAATGAGAGCAGTTCCTTCTGCTTTCAGTTCCATTTGCTTTTCTTCAGCATTGGAGCAAAAAAACACACACAGCGAACAAAATAAACCCAGCCCTTTTCTTTTTCAGTTCGAAATTGGTCCCTGTGGGTGCATCCTCCTGACTGTGTCTGTCATCTTATCAAGATCAATCAATCTGTGAGTGTCTTTGCATCCTTGTTTCATAAACTGCAAAGCAAACAAACTGTGCAAAGTGAGGGAGAACCCACAATATACTTAAGTGGTGTTTTTAATCTGTGTTGGTGTTTACTCTGATACATATGGGGAAGTTATGCAGATTTACTCACTTAATCTTGTTTTTTCTTGTAAATATTTTCTTTTCATATGTATATATATATATGTATGCTGTTTAAGTTGTGATCAGTTCAGCATATCTGATATAAACTACTCTCTCTCAGCATTAGGTGTCATGTCTGTTGTGTTCCCTACCTTGACTGTTGACATTTCTTTCCCATACTTTAGGTATCTGTCTTAGGTAGGGATGAATAACTTCCTTATGATGCCCCAGTCTCTCCAGCAATGATAATGATAAGAAAAAGCTGATAAGAAAAAGCTGATGTACAATGGATTAGGGAGCTAATTTTTAGATGGCTATAATATATGACAGATCTGGTCTCAGTTTATTGGTGTAATAAATATGCTGAGCTTTAATGGAAAATCATTATAACCTCTTTTAAAAACTCACTGAGGTTTGCTCAAGCACAGTTGCATTTAATTGTGCTTCCATACAGATTAAAGGTGTTTTTGTGATACTGTGAATTTCAGTGGGTCAGAATAGAAAAACTTTCTTCATCTTGTCAAAATCCACTTTTGTGAGAATCTCCAAAAGTTATCTGCAAAAGGGAAAACTGTTCCCTGACAGCTTGTAATAAGAAGTGACAAAGAAAGAGCAGCTGCACTTGAGAGCAGTGTGAGTTTGATTTATGTAAGCTTTTATTTCTTAACTCTCTGCATTGTCTGGAAAAGGAAATAGCAACTTAGTCCAAATTTGAGATATACAATCAGCTGCTCACCTACTGAGGTCCCAGCAAGCATTTGCAGGTTGTTTTTTTTTGTTGTTGTTGTTTTATTGTAATTTCTCCCTTTCTTTTGCTTACAGTAACACTACAGCCATTGGCTTGACTCCACTTTTGTACTTTAACACAAATGATATGAAATTTTTATAGCATATACCACTTATTCTTGTTTTTCTGAGTTAGTCCAGGTTAGTAACAATATTTGTGCAAGTAATGATCTATTTGGCATTTGGTAGGGTCACCAAAAGCCACAGGTTCATAATTGCTACTGTTTGCATTGCTTCACTTGCCATAAAATGATAAATATTCTTCAATAATATAAGCAAGGAGCCTTTTTCCCCCATCATCTGTCAGTTCTTCACAGATGGATTATGACAAGGCCAATCAATCATCTGTGTTTGTGTTTGGGGGAGCTGTGTCTAAAGTGAACATGAAAATTGCTTATGGTGCCTATTTGCATTTTGAAGTATCTAAATATTTTTACAGTTCTACTCCAGAATTGTTTATAAAGGGAGCTCTATTTTTAAGACATTTCATGATTTTCTCACACAACTTCATTTTAAAGTACTGTTACTCTTCTGGCTTTTACTGTGTAAGATATTGCACCTATCTTTTGTTTTTAAGAAACAGGGATTTTTCTGTCAAAAAATGCAGTTTTTTGACCTTTGCGTAATTTTTTTTAGAAGTGCAAACAAAATGTAGTTTATGTAATTTTCAGTAATCTATTTTAATGCCTATGTCATAGTGCTTCTCTTAGGATATTATAAATATCAAGACAACTCACTCCTGATACCATCAAGAAATATGTACCATTTAGTGAGTGTTACAAGCATGGTAAGCAATTATTTACATAACTGGCATAGTTCTGGATGAATAGTTGAAGACAAGTAACAGTTGTTTTAGATAATGGAATTTTCAGCCAGTAATAGATCTCCCTGGGATTGTTTTGTCCCAGTTTTTATTTTTTTTCTTAACCAAAAATCAACAGGTTTTTACAAAAGAAAACTTAAGGGAAGTTTCAGTTGTCCTGATTTTTGTTTAAATATTTTATTGAGAAAGACAGTTTTAGGTGAGAGGCTGAGAGATTTTAGTTTCTCAAACCATGTTGAAATGCTTCTGTTTGGGTGGGTTCTTCACCATGTGCCCACAAAGCTCTGGGGTCCCTTGGTAAATATCTCTTCAATAAATAATTGTCATTTCTTGTCAGCAAGTTGAAGACTGAAGGTGGAATAGTTTTGACTGTAGTGAATAATGAGACCCCAGAGCTTATAGAATTGCTCAGAGCAGTCACATCTGTGGGCAGAAGCTTCCCATGCCTGTCCAGATGGGAGGTGGCTGTGGCCGGACCACATAACTCAGGGGTGGCAGCTGCAGGAGGTGATGTAGTTCAGGATGGTCGAGACTTGTTAGCACCTTCTTAAACCTGTTCTAGCAGTCCAGAAGGATCTCACAGTGCCAACAATCTCATCTAAGTGTAGCCTTCTAAAAACTGTGCCAAGTCTCAGTGCTCCCAGCTCCCTCTGGAATCAGTGGAAAGAGAGAAGCTTCTCTAAGAGGGTCGTCCTGTCCAAAAATAAGTGTCAAGAACCGAGAGGAGAATTGCTGTGGGCAGTGCTTGTCTTTGGTTTTGGATGGAGAACTATTAGCTAGGACTCCTATTTTTTTAGATTTTTGCTGTTTTGAGGGCAATTGTCTGTCTTACTGCCCTGAGAAGTTGTGGACTCCCCATCTCTGGAAGTGCTCAAGGCCATGTTGGACAGGGCTTGGAGCAACCTGGTCTAGTGGAAGGTATCTCTGCCCATGGCAAGGGGATTGAACTGGATCCTTAAGGTCCCTTCCAACTCAAACCATTTGATGATTCTATAATTTATTTACTTTCTATGGGAAAATTTGCATCCAGGCTTCCCTAATGCTCAAAAAAAAAGGGGAAAAGATCATGAGTATTTTGACTTATTTTTAATGTCTAACTTAGAATGAGATAAATCCTCTCCTGAAGTGGTTACTTATCTCCCCTATAAAATAAGAAAATCTAAGTAACCTACTCATAAAGATCTTTTACAGTATAAATATCCAGTAGTGAAATGAAATCTGTTTTATAGTGACAGGACAATAAAATGGGAGATTAAATTAAGTCTTAATAATGCAGAGCATTGTACATGATGCAAACAGTCTCAAATATACTTACCTAGTGATGGGCTTTAAATAGGCTATTCTAGAAAAGGAGAGAAATTCTGGTACCACTGCTAGTAATTTAATTATCTGAACACATCAATTCAGATAGTTTCTATGATGGACAAAAAATAAACGATGAGTTGGGAGTTATGGTGATAAGAAACGAGAACAGAATAAAAACATGCTAATGTCTTTGTCTAAATATATGATCTTCTCATAGTTTATCTTGCATGGAGTTGTAAGACCAGTAAAGACCAGGCCAGTAAAGACACATCAGACCTAGAACAGGCTGGAAGACAAAAACAAAGTTTCCCTTTACTGTGGAAATATAAAAAAATCTTTCCTCTTCGTCATTGAAGAGGAATAACTTGGAAGTAATAAAAATGTAGACATCCATGATAAGGTTGAATAAGGAGTGATTATACCTTATTTCTCAGAGTCCAAAAACTTGGGAGCTGGCAGGGAAATGCTCAGGCTTTGATGTTAAAACAAACCACGACACTCTTTTTTCCACAGCACGAGTAACTTGCAGTGCTGGGAGATAAGGAGACCAAAAATATCAGGAGGTTCAAATGAATTTAGACAAATTACTGGAACCTACATGCTTCAGTACCTTTAAACGCACTGGTGGAGATGTTATCTAAGTGTACCCCATTTTTGTGCCCTGCCTTGATGTTTGCTGCTGCTGCTGCTGATTTTTGGGCCAGCTCCATAATTTTTGCATTGTTATGGATGTTTCTTGTGGATGGAAATTCCAGATTTCAGCCAGGTCCGTTGGGCAGTTGTTCTAAATCACTGACAATCTGAGTATTTTTTATTTAATGGGAACGCATGCCAGGAAATGCAGGAGTTTGCAGTGCTTTGTAGATTTTGGTAATGAGTTTTTCATGCTCCCAGCACTAATGATCATCACTGCTCCAACTGATAACAAATGGCCAAAGAGAGGAGTGAGAATTCCTGAGGAAGTTGCTGAGAACGCGTTGTTGCTCCTGGGACAGGAAGGAATTCTGGTCACTAACAATTGTAAACTCCTTTTCTTTTTTCTTTTTTTTTCTTTACAACCACTGAAAAAAATTAAAAAACAGTCATATTATACCTGCTCAGGGGACTCATCTCTCTGAACGTGCAAAGTGTGTGCTGGAAACATGTTGATAAGAGCTACAGGATGTTTTTTCCATGTATGTGGGAGAGACTGAGCTTAAAGGTGGGCTGCATTCCCCCATCTTGTGTGTAGGGAAGTTGTGGATACTCAGGAGTAGATTACATAGACCCAGTAATGAGAGCTTGAGTGAAGCCCACAGCCTGAAGTTACAACATGTAGTAAAACCATAGCACAAGCTTTCCCTGCTGGGTGCTGTCCTTGGCACCTTCCTCACTGTGCAAAACCATCACTAGACTGGGATGTGGCTCATTTGGATCTATTCATTGGATCATCAGTTTTCCTGAATTTCAGCTCCTTTACCAACCAGTCCCACCCTCAGTTTTTACTGCCATATTTTTCCTAATCAGTGCAGTAACTTTATTGCATTACTAGAACCTGCTGTAGCAAAGAACACATGGGATGAGAAAACCCCTCAGGTCAAATTCCTGTGTGGAAAAGCAGTGTATTGGTTTTCAGGCTACCTGGAGACAATATATTTGAACCTGATCTGAAACACAGACTCATTGTGTTGCTCACAAATCAAAATGCCAGTGTTTGCATCCCTTTTGTTGACTTTATCACTTGCTGAGAGCAGATCACGGTGTCCTTCTGCAATCAACACTGGTCATGGGGTGTCTTTCCCATTTTTTCTCTGGAGTGTTTGTGTGAGAATAAATAAAACAATGCCTTTATCTCTGGGAAAACATAAAAAAACAGGAGACTGATTTTACAAGTCAAGAGGAGGCTGTGTACTTCATTAGGGTTGGCTGCTTGTAAACCTTGGAAAACACACGTCGACACCTTTTTCCTTGTTGTGATCCCACAGCTCTGCTTACTACCCTTCTTTGCTGCTCCAGAAATGTGTACAGCCCTGCTTCAAAAATTATTTATAGTGTTTCTGGTTTGGTGTTTGGGAATTTTGATTGGTTGGAGTTGGTTGTATTTGGGTTTTTTTTTGGTTTTTTTTTTTTGGTTTTGTTTTGGTTTTTTAATATTATTATTTATTTGCAAAGCCAATGTGTTTTTATTAAATTGGATAAATCACAATATAACTCCTTATCAGTCTAAGATTTCTCACACAGAGTAGGTGTGTCCTTAGTTATTCCCAATTCATCTCTTTCTCTGAAATCTTCTATTAATTAACAATTTTTAATAGAGGGAATCATATGGTTAAAACTATGGGTTTTTTGTGCCATTGAGCACTTATTCTTCATTCTTCTGGCACTGTTTTACTGAAGTCATGCTAATCCATTCTTGAAATAACCACACACCAGCACCAAATCATGTTAATAGCTGGTCATTATTTTACCCTGTAAGATGCTCAAATATATCTGTTTGTCAGCTTAGTTTTACTTCTGTAATTATTTATCTGATTGCAAGGAATATTCCAGCCCTTGGAGCATCTCTGTGGCCTCCTCTGGACCTCCTCCAGCAGGTCCATGTCCTTCTTATGTTGAAGGCCTCAGAGAAGAAACTGTACATTGGCTACAGAACTTTGGCATCCCTAGCCCTGATGTCACCTGCCTTTCAGGTTTTATTTGCTGGCCCATTTTTAACTGGATTATTCCACATTGCTGCAAGCACAAAATAAATACTCTTAATTAACTGTGCACTTCATTACCATAAATAATCTTAAATGATCTCAACAATGTTGAACTTATAAAAGTGCACTTAGAACATATTGAAAGCCAAGCTGTGGGAAACTCCCTTTAGTCAGTAAGGCAAGGGGTTTTTTTTGAGATGTGTAACAGATAATCATCACTCTTTTAATCTGAAACAAGCCATTTTGGGGGGTATCCTTTTCTATATCCTTTCTGTATCATTTTCTGTATCATCTACTGTGAATTAACCCCAATTTTGAGTTGTTACTTCACCTTTAATGTCTTTCAGTCACGTGGGACATTGGAAAGGAAAGTGATGCTCTGCTGGCTCATGAACTGTGGGTGGAACAAAGGTTCCTCCACCCTCAATCCACTTTCCTTAAGTGACACCTTTTCCTGTCCCAGAGCCAATATCTAATTGGAGTCCAATCTCTAATTTTGGAGTTCCCCTGAAATGCACCCACTCTCCTCATGCTGTTTGGCTGGTGAAGAAAGGCTTTTCTGTGAAATGGCCACCTGGCTTGGCCAATGGTAAAAGGAATTGCAGCTTCA